ACCAATTATTTATGTTTCTTTTCACCTTTCTTCTAATTGCTTAAAAATAAGAGAAGACTAGGTGGCAGAGTGGACAGACCACTGGGCTTGGAATCAGGAAGGCTCAACTTCATGAGTTCAAATATGGCCTGACACTTACTGGTTGTGTGACCCTTGTCACTCAACCTCATTTGCTCATCTGTAAAAAGAGCTGGAGAAGAAAATGGCAAACCATTCTAGTATCTTTCCAAGAAAACCCCAAATGGGGTTACAAAGAGTTGGACAAGACTAAAAATTGACTGACAAAGGGAGGACTTAAAATGATATTAGAAAACAAAAAAGTCATAAACATTATATTTTTTTAAAAATTAGTGTACCAATGCATAAATTAACAATTTGAAGATATTTGCATACTCCAAGTTGCAATATAACTTTTTATTTCTTTGTATTTAAACACTTGAACTAAAAAAAACCCAGTACCTGATGAAAAAAAACAAAAACAAAAACAACAACAGTCTGGAAAGATGTTGAGGCCAGACAATAAACTGCATTTCTGTTGTCCAAGGATCATGCTACCTAGTTTTGGAGAAGTGATTTGCAAGCTGATGAATTTTTCTTTCACATCATCACATGAAGACTACTAAGTCACAGAAAGGTTGCAATCTGTATTAGTAGAGAGAGTTCTCACATCAATCAACTTATAGTTCCTTAAGGTACATTTATATCTATAGCCATAGAAATACAGACAGACAGACAGACACACACACACACACACACACACGCAACATCCATCTTGCCATATGAAAAGAAGGCATAGTATCATTTCTGAATACTGAATATTTGAAAAGAAGGCTTTTAGGTTGGTATGCTCTGGGTCTGATCTTGCCTCAAAGTAGGATAGTAGATCAAAATATCTCTAATGATCTTTTCCTGCTTTATGAGAACTATGGATATGTCATTTTATTTGGACAATTTTTACTTGACTGGTCATTTCATTAAAAAAAAATACCCCAAAGTTTCCTCATTTCAGCAACTAGTAATTGCAAATATATTGCAGCAAAAAGCTGTAAATCTGTGGAAGCAAAAGGTGAGGTGCCAGTCGGGCTGAAGAGCATGCTTGTGTAGAATTCACTAGGGCATACTTTCCAGCAGTCATTATTCTTTGACCTTTAACATAGGCATGTTCAAGATAATAGGGAAGACCTCAGAAGGCATTGTCATGGATATAACTATCACTGACTTTGTGACTCAGTGTTATCACTTCACAACTCTTTGGCATACCCTGTACCTTAAGGCCTTCAGAAATTTACAGTATAGCCCACTGGATCACCCAAAACACAGTGGAACACAAACACAGAGGTAAGAGGACTTCCCAGGGCCATACTGCTCTTTCAAACAAAGGGCTCCCGGCTCTCTTACTCTACCTCCTGGCAACAAAGTCGACAGGGCCACATGTGGGGCAATTCAGGAGCAGCAGGCCAGAAGTCTGACTAGCTCTGCATTTAGAAACTAGCTAAAGGCAGCTTCAGAGAGGAAGAGAGAGGGAAGTGCTCTCATCAGGGCTACTGGCAACAGCTGCTGCCTTCCTGTCTGGCTTTGATGATTGCTGTAACAATTGCTTCCCACATCTGTTCATGGACCTTGCCCTAAGCACACCAGACATACACAGGAGTTCCCTTTTCTGTCCACTACCTCACAATAAAAGGGTGATATCAGAGAGTAGCTATCTGAGTCTCCCTTTCAGTTAATAACCTTGCTGAAGTAGGAGAAACAAGGCAATTCTACATGCACTCAGACAAGTGCAATTCTATGTGCACTCAACTAGTGTTTATACCGAATTGATTGGCTCTTGGAAAAAATTTGATTAGTCAATTTAGTTAAAATGGTCAATTTAATCATCTCACCTAAAACAATAATAATAAATCTCATTTATGAAGCAACTGATACTTGCCAAAACCTTGTTACAACAGTCCTGCAAGTATATACATTATACACAGAATTCAGTATATGTGTACATACATATTTGTGTATATATTACATGTATATGTGTATAAATATATAGGTATATTGTGTGTGTGTGTGGTGTGTGTGTGTGTGTGTATCCTCTAATTTAAAGTTACAACCAGAATTGAGATATTTTGCTTAGGAACCCAGAAGATGGTCTTAGCTCTTCTGGATTAGAATGTAGCAGTCTGGATCCAGCATTTGTATACTTATTTATTCATTCATGTGTTGACTATCTAGCCGGCAGCTTGAATAATGATAACATTGTACTAAGGACAACAGATTTTAAGCTGGAAGAGACTTTAGGGATCCCTCGTTTTATAAACGGGGAAACTCTAGACTTGCCTTGACTCTCAGGTCAGTGCCTTTTCTGCTCCATCATTCTGCAGTGGCCAGAATATTGGTGCTAGAGTCAAGAAGACCTGAATTATAATCCAGTCTGACACTAGCTGTGTGACCCTAAGCATGTCCCTTAACTTCAGTTTGTCTCAGTTTCCTCATCTGTGAAATGGCTACCATAATGACATCTACTTCCTAGGGTGGTTGTGAGGGCAAAATGAGATCATATCTGTAAAGTGCTTTGTAAACATTAAAGCACTATGTAAATGCTATTGTTGTTGTTGATCCACTTCTAGGTTTAAGCATTTTGTCTGACAGTGATTGTACTGTAGCACAAGACTGTCAACACTGTAGATATACCATGTTCCCCTTCCTTCTTCTACCCACCCTATTCTACAAAGGAGGGGCACGGTTCATGAATTTTATCCCAAAGGCAGAAATCCTTAGCTACTGCTAAGAACTCTTTTAGTTCTACTGCCACCAGCAACTTGTCTGCAAAGACTTAGTTAAGTCCTTTACTTCCCTGCCTCGGTTTCCCTCTTCTCCCTCACCCTTGCCCCATTTAAATTTGGGCTAAGGTAGCAGTCAAAAGCTTGATCCAAGTGCTCTTAAAAAACAGGGCAGGCTAAAGGTAAAACTGTTTTCACTATGTCTGATTCTAACCCTGAGGTGGTTAGCTGGGAGAAGGTTGGAGGAAGAAAGGAAGAAGTGTGGGAGTGCTAGGAGAGATTAATAATAATGATAACAATAGTAATGACAGCTGACATTTATATAGGACTTACTATGTACTAAGCATTGTGCTAAGTACTTTACACTATTATATCATTTGAGATTCATAACAACCCTTGGAGTTATATGCTCTTATAATCCCCATTTTACAGATGATGAAACTGAGGCAAACAGGTTAAATGCCTTGCCCAGGGTCACACAGCTAGCAAATGTCTGAAGTCGTATTTAAAGTCTTCCTGACTCTAGCCCCAGGGTGCCCCCTAGCTGCTTTAGGAAGAATGTAAAGAAGGGAAGGTGATGGTGATTCATGAAGCCCTCCAATAAACAGCCCCTTGCTCACTTAATGACAACCACAGAGTTGGGGCCAGAAATGATCCAGTAATGGCATAGAAATGGTTGTGAAACTTCCATGGCTGCTAAAATGCTTCTAAGGCATCCATTTTGACAAACTTCATTCTTGGTACCCTGAGTGGGAAGCTACATCACTATTCCCTAAAAGTCTAAAGACAGCCGGACAGTTATTTTGAATTACTCTACAGAAGAAAGATTGACAGACTTGTGGGGATCTGTCTACATTTTACCAATCTCTCAAGTTTCAATTATTTGTATAAATTAAATTATTTAGTATTTATTAAAAAAAAACCCAGCCATCAATGATACATGTGATTGAAGTCAATCTTATAATTAAAGTTATGAATTCCAAGACATTTCTTCAGCTAAATAAAAGTGTAATTACAGTGGCTAAGTACTAGAATTACTGTATATGTCTGAGCATTGGATACTAGTACATAAGAAAATAGTAGTTTTCCATTACTGTTACATTCATTGGTACTCTACATCCTGCAATGATAAAAGCAGCAGTGAATTATCAACACTGCTTTAGAATATTAACACCTGTCCTGCAAGGTAGAAAATGGACTATAAAACCTGGAAATGCATATTTACTTTTCTCTTATCACACAAAAATGCAATTCCCTTTCCAGGCTTAGTGAAATGATGCCTTCATTCATTCAAAATATAAAATCTCAATAGGATGTTTTTTTCTTTAAGGTTTACATGTAAAAAGAAATGTTCCACTGACATTCAAGTTCTCCTTCAAAGAGTCCACTGTTTGCACAGGACTGTTACCTGCACATCTGCATTGGGATCCTCTGATCTATTCACCTAATTACTTTATAATTTCACTTCAGACTTTAATAATAGGAAACTGACACCGAAGAAAATAGAGCAAGAGTAGCCTACAATACAGCTGGCAATAAGAGATCTGAATGTAAGTGTCTGACTCCTAAAGAACCAATTGGAGGTTTTATAATTGTTAAAAAGGAAAAAAAGGCAATATGAATCCATCACCTGCTGTTTCAGTATTTCACCTCCAATTCTGGGGAAAGTACCATATGGGTTCATGCCCTCACCCCATCTTTTGTAGATAAAAATCACATCTAAAAAATCTCTTACATATTTACATCCGTCATTTTTTTTTCAAAGATGGAAAACTGGATCTGTTAAATATTCTGGAGAAGGCAGGGGGCTGTGAGGGCAAAGAAATGAATTGATGAGTCTGCAGAGACTGTTAAGAGAAGTTTACAGATAAGAGCCAGAGAGTCTGGGAGATGGGAATGAATGAAATATTGCTGCTTAGGATTAGGGCCATGGCAGGGAGAAATATGAACGAGGTCATGGTCAGCTGAAGGGTGGGAAATGAAGAGACTGGGTGAAACGAGGGCAAGCTGTTTGCAGTCATGAGGCCCGAGGTCAGATGAGGAAGGAAAACGACAGGACGAGTGACTCTGTGAGGGCAGTGAGAATGGGAGTGATGTGTGTGTGGCTAAGTACGTGAGGAGGGAAAAGCGAATGGTTTGACAGGTAGAGACAAGGAGATGGTCCAAAGGGAGGGAAGGGGGAGTTTGTAATAGAAAAAAGGAGTGTTTTCTCCTTTCATCCCAACTCACCGAAGAGGCTGTTGCTAAACCCGTCCCATGCGCAGCCCACTGTGTCCCAGACCCAGCCGCTCCTGAGGCAGGACACGAAGGTAAAGGTGACTCCAAAGAGGGACACAAGCAGGTCACTGAAACTGATATTCACCAAGAGGAGGTGGGTCGGGGTGCGGAGCCGCTGGAACTTATAGTAAAGGACGAGCACCAGCAAGTTGTTGCACAAACCCAGCAGCCCGATGGTGGCGATCAGCAGCGCTAGCAGCTCGTAAGTCCCGGGACTGAAAAGGGGCGCTGGACGAGGGCTCCCCTCCGGCCCGGGCTCCCCTGCAGCCCCAGTGCCTCCGGCTCCGCCTGCTCGGCCACTGCCCCAGTAGCCGCCACCGCCGTCGTCGCTACTGTTGCCTGAGTACATGGCTAGGAAGCAGGCTGCCCCGGGAGCAAGCGCTCAGCGCTCCGCGCTTCCAGCTGCTGCCAGCACCCTGGGCGCGGCTGTGGCTCCAGCTCTGGCTCCAGCTCCAGCTCCAGCTCCAGCTCCAGCTCCAGCTCCAGCTCCCGAGCGCACTGGGGCCATGGCGAGGGAGAGCAGCAGCCGCCGCCGCCGGGGCCGCTCCCACGGGAAGCGCCAATGAGAGTGGGAGAAGAGGCAGGCAGCCCACTCTCCCCTGATCTGGCTCAAGGCAGCCTTCCCTTCCCCCACCTCAGCCTCAATCCATGTGCGTGCGTGCGTGTGTGTGTGTGTGTGTGTGTGTGTGTGTGTGTGTGTGTGTGTCTGCGCGTTTGCGCGCGAAGAGGGGATAAAAGGAGGAAAGAGAAAACTGTTATATCAAAAACGTGGCAGGCACATCCCCCTTACACACTTCTCCTCATTTCCGAGGATGTAAGGAAACATACTACTGTGTGCCTGACAATAAGAGCTTAACAAATCTTTCTCTTTCTCTCTCTCCTGTCATCTCTATCATTTACCATTTTTTCTATTTTAATGTCTATCATCTATCATCTATATCTATCCTGTATCAATCAGTTGTCTCTATTTCTCATATCATCTATCTATCTATCTATCTATCTATCTATCTATCTGTCTGTCTGTCTGTCTGTCTTATATCCTTATGCTTTCCTTTTAGTGAGACTCATCTGAACTTTTACAGGCTACAATAAGGGACCAGTTTTCTTCCTGTATCCTCTCCACCATTATTCAAACAAACAAATAAGGGGAAAAGTGGTGGTGCCAATTCACCATTCACAAACAGGTAGGGTAAGGAAGAAAAAAGACATGTTGCTATAGGACCATTGTGGCCATCTCTGATGCCATCACTAATAAGGTGAGGGCTTACTCATTTCAGTTTACTCATATATAAAATAAAATGGTTGGACTAGATGACCAACCCCCAAGGGCCCTTCTAGCTTAGACATTCTATGCTCTCATGTCCCCTCCCTCAAATAAAAGCATATTTGATGTAGGTTAAGCACCTGATTGAACCCCAAAGGAAAATCCTTCCTTCTGAAATGCTTTAAACTCACAGATGCCATCTCCTATTGTTGGGCTATAATGCAGCACAAGAATAAGATAAATGTTTTTGGTCTGTGTGCCAAGGGCCCACAACCTAAACCTGCCAGGTGTACTGTAGTTACATACTTAATTTAGGACACATATTGTCACTGTCTGTCTTTTCCCCCCCAGAAGCAATTTTGAAAAAAAAATAGAGTAGGAGACAAATATAGGTTGTGACAATGCTCTGCAAGAGCTTTTTGTGTCCTGTACAGAGCTAATGCAGCACAGCTATAGGAATTGCCATACTGGGTCACCCTCTGTCTCCCCAGAAGGATTTTCTTTTTCATGGCAGTAGCAGCAGTTTGTGGAAGAGCACAACCCCTTGATCATTACTAGCTTCCCTCTATAAACAACAAGCATTTGTTAAACTCCTACAATGGGCCAGGCACAATGCTAAGTGCTGAGGGTACAAAGGCAAAAAAAAAAAACAACCCTGCCCTCCAGAAGCTTTTATTCTGGGGGGAGATGATGGGATACAACATATACACAGACTGTAGATACAAAATAATTGTGGGGAAAGATGCTAACAATTTGGAGTAGAGGGTGAACTTGTTGATTTGGGTGGTCACTTTTATATTTTTTACTTTGGCTTCTTGGTTAACAAAGTCCCAGTGTTTATTGCACATGTGTATAAAGAAATATTTATTTTTAATCTCCCCCTCCAGGATATTACCTCTTTCAGGATTCAAGGAATGCCTCCTAATGCAGAGGAGTAGACTAAATGTTAGGAAATAGGAGACATGGATTAACTAATTGTGATCCTGAGTAAGTCTTTATCTCCAAAAGGAAGGAAGGAAGGAAGCACAAGATCACAGCATCATAGATTTCTAGCTACATTAGAAGTAGCAAATCAATTCCTTTCATTTTATAGATTAGGAAACTGGAGCTCATAGCAATCAAACAGGAGGATCTAAGCCCTGGGTTTCTGATTTGAAATCCGTTGAACTGTACTAGCCTAGATGATTTCTTAGGTTCCCTCTAAAATGAAATGATTCTATGATCTTTGCTATTATGCAATTAGTTATATTTCAGGCTCAGCCTAACCAGGATTCTGGACTTCAGGAATTTTCTCTGCCTGTCCCTTATGTCTGGAACCTCCTCCACTCAGCCTATGGACCTCCCCAACTTTCTTTAATTCCCAACTAAAATCCTTTCCTTTATTGGAATTCTTCTCTAGTCCCTTTTATTTCTAGTGCCTTATCTCTTTAATTACTTCCTATTTGTCCTGTATATGTTGCTTTGAATATATTTGTTTGCACATTGTCTCCCTCATTAGATTGTAAACACCTTGAGGGCAGGGACTGTCTTCTGCCTCTTTTTCTATCTCCAATGCCACAGTGCCTGGCACATAGTCGTGCTTAAAACAATGTTTATTGATTGACTGACACATAATTTTATGGACTTTTTTCACATCATCAATATTTAAAATCCTTTGTAGACTTTGAAGAGTTAGGGGTTTGGTATTTGTTTGTTTTTCCTAATCTCTATAACACTTGTCAGGATGCCACCCTATTAATAGTGTGTGGATTATTTGCATATTTACTTAGTTCAGTGATCAAACGAGTCAATTTCCTAAAATCATGAGAAACCACTTTAACCAGATCAGGCTAACATCTATTATAATGCCGTCAAGTAATTAGGTTCACTTATGTCATAAAAGTAGAGATGTTAAAATCTTCATTAACATAATAGTGTTTCAATATTGAAATACTAGGAGGACTATGTGGGAATGGGGATAAGTGATAGTCATCTTCATTTATTCATTCATTCATTCACTCATTCATTTAACAAAAATCCAGAATGACAACATCAACAACAAACATTTACTGAATATGTTTTAGAACACTGCCCTAAATATATAAACTACAAAGACATGGTCTCATGTCTAAAAGATAGGATGGTATCATTAAATAATCAATTAATCACAAAGTGTTTATTAAGTATTTACTATTCACCAGTCAGGGCAGAAAGGTGGCTTAACAGATAAAGTGCTAAGCCTAGAGTCAGGAAGACCTGAGTTCAAATCCAGCTTCAGACAGGTACTAGCTGTATGACCCTGGGCAAGTCACTTAACCCTGTTTACCTCAGTTTCCTCATCTGTAAAAAGAGCTGGAGAAGGAAATGGCAAACCATTACAATACCTTTGCCAAGAAAATTCCAAATGGGGTCACAAAGAGTCTGATATGACTGAAACACAACAATATGCATCAGTCACTTATGTAAAGTGCTGGCAATACAAAGACAAAATCTGAATATCCTTCACCTTCAAGGAGCTTATATTCTGAAGAGAGAGATAATGTATGTATATAGAATATATAAATCAAATTCAAGGCAAACTTGGAGGAGATGGTGCTAACAGCTGGGGCCCTAGGCAATGCCTTCTGATGAAGGTGGTGATGGAACTGAATCTTGAAGGGATTCAGAGATTCCAGGAGATGGAGGTGTGGAGGTGGGTTGGGCAGTGGAGTGAATGGGGGCAGCCAATGCAAAGGAATGGCGACAAGACAGGCAGCACCATTAAGTATGTAGGTTATTATGGCTGGACCATAGATAACATGGAGGGGATTGATTAATCTGGAAAGGTGGAGAGGGGCCAGGCTGTAAAGAGCTGTCAAAGCTAAATTAGAGTTTATATTTGATCTTTGAGGTGACAGTGAAATACTGGAGTTTATAGAGCAAAGGGGTGGGGGGAAGAGAATAGGGGCAGAACTTGGTCGAATCTGAACTTTTAGGAAAATCATTTTTGACAATGGTGTGGAGAATGGATTGGAACGGGGAGAGATCAAAATGGAGAGACAAATTAGAAGGCTACCACCTCCCGAAAGAGAGGCGATGGACCCAGGTTGCATCTTGACTATGCATATTCATTACAAGGGTTTTGTTTTTCTTTTCTTTTTTTTCCCCTCAATGAATGGGAGGGAAAGAAAATAAATGTTTGTTAGTTGAAAAAATTAAATTAAAAAGATTATTGCAGTATTCCAAGTGAAAGATGATGAGGGCTGCATCTAGGGTATTAGTTATGTGATTGGAAGAAAAGGTATGGAGGAAATGGGGGTTAAAAAAAGATTAGGCAATTGTTCGGAATGAGAGAGAATGAAGAGTTGAGGATGACACCAAAGTCACAAACATGGGTGATAAGAATAGTAGCATCCTCAACAGTAATAGGGAAGTATGGAAAAGGGGTGGAATTGGGGGGAAAGAAAATTTGGTCTGTTTTGGACAAGTTAAGCTTGAGATGCCTGTAGGATATCAAGTTTGAATTGTGTAATAAGCAATTTGTGATGCAGGAATAGAACTCAAGAAAAAGATTTGGGATAGCTATATTAATTCATCATCTAGGAACAATAAAAATAATAGCTAGTATTTATATAGTGCTTTAAGATCTGCAAAATGTTTTACAAACATTTTTTCATTTTATACTCACTACAGACTTAGGAAGAAGGTGCTATTATTATCATTTACAGATGAGGAAACTGAGGTACACAGTTGTTTCTGACTTTCCAAGGGTCATACAGCTAATAAGTGTCTGAGGCTGGATATGAACTCAAGTCTTCCTGACTCCAAATCCAGAGTTCCTTTACCTTTTGGCTTTTCTTAAGCATTTGACACTGTTGACCACCCTCTCCTCTCTGGATTTGTGTGATATTGCTCTCTCTTGGTTCTCCTCCTACCATTAGGAAAGCTAGGTGGTGCAATGAAGGATTTACAGTGAGATGTCCTGAGTTGGAGTCCAGTTGTATCATCTACTAGCTGTGTGACTTTAGATGTGTCCTATCAGTTTTCTCTGTCTTCTTAACTGTATAATGAGGATGCTAATATTGGTATCATCCAGCTTATGGGGTTGTGTGAATCAAAAGAGATAAGGTATATAAACTGCTTTGCAAACCTTAAAATGCTAGATACTAAAATATTCCTAATTGAATCTGTCATCTTATTTATTTGGTTTTCCCTCCAAAGATGCAGATCACAATCCATTGCAACTCCCATCCATGTTCTCCTATAAAATAGCGACAGTGGAGGCGCAAAATGTACTTTTCCCTTCCTTTTCTCCTCCTTCCCTTCTTTCCTTCCTTTCTCCCTTCCTACCTCCCTCCTTCCCTTCCTCCTTT